CTCTCTGTATATCTGATTTTCCAATAAAAATAAATAGATCTTTAAATAATAATAAGTTGGGTCATTATTCAACCTGGCTTCAGAACACCATTCACTCCTTCCACCAACCCACCATTATTTCCTACTGAAGCAAGTTATCTTATAGATCTGAGGATACTTCCAAAAGTTTATGGGAAAATGGAAATAAAGACAATACTGCATTTCCCTGTGAATGTTTGAAGTATCCTTGTACAAAGAACACCTAGTTCCATTTATCCAGGCACCTAGAACTCTCTACTTTAGGATTGACTGAACTCCACTTCCACGAATTCCAGAAATGAAATGAAGCCTGGTGACAGTTCTTAACAAACTATCACCCTCCAAGGGTTAAATACAAGCATCTCTTCTCCCAAATGAGTTTCTATTGAAGAGTTCCCCAAATCCATGATCTCCCTATTTCCTCTAAACATTATTTTTAATTCATTAAAATATTTTTAGTGACTGCTTAGGAATGAGGCTTAAGGGATTCAACGCAGATCATGAACCCCATGGAAAAGATGTGAGCCCAGGCTGAAGGTTGAATTGAGGTGAGGGGAGAGGAAGGCGGACACCGGGGTACTGGATCTGTTCATGAACTGAGAGGAATGGAGGGACTGAAGGAGGAAGCAGAGCCTGGAACACCTAAGGGTGTGAGTGGTGGGAGAGCGAGGGAGCCAACAGCACCGTGGGCTGAAGTTCCCATGCAATGTTCTCATTCGAGCGCCATAATGGACACACGTGTTGAAAACAACTCAGTGTTGCCCAACATGTAATGGAAAGTGTGGTGTGTAAAGCACTGACTCCTTCTTTCAATTCCAGTGCTCTTCTGAAATACTGTCAGATCACATCCCACCCCAAGGGCAAATCCAGTAACAATCCACCTTATCCTTGGTGTTGGTGTTGCAAGTCAAGTCTCTTCCTGTGTCTAGGTGGTGGTTAGCTTCTTCTCTGAAGCTCTAGATGCATGATGAACACAATTATAGTTTTCATTTTCCACTACAGTTCTTACATCATTTCTATTTGATTAAAATCTGAGTGATTTCCCCCATAAAATCATTCAAATTCATATGCTTTAATAAACACCCACATTGCCTGTCTCTCCACACACGGTATACAATGTGCTCATGTTGTACATGCGCATGTCTAAAACAAAGAAAATAAGATAGGATTGAATAGCCTATTTAGGGAAGGACAAAGAGGAAGCTAGAGGAATTTCACCCCCACATGATGGAGGTCCCCATATCATAGACAACATCTGGTTTATAAGATTTTATTGAGATTTCACTTCTGAGCTCTTTGCCATAACTCTTGAGTAAGCAATCGGAAGGTTATCATGTTCTATTCAGAGATAAGCAAACAGTGAAATGGAGAAGGTTGTAAAAAATGTAGGGAGGGTGAAGGATTGTATGTGTGTGTGTGTGTGTGTGTGTGTGTGTGTGTGCGCGCGCGCGCGTGCAGGGAGAGGGGTGTAGTGCTATGCTCCTTCAAAAGAGAAATTTACCAAAAGGAGGGAAGGCAATTCCTGGATTTAGCAACTCCGTGTCTGGGAGTTTACTTTAGAGAAATTCTCACATATACCCCCTCCCCCCAAAAAACTCAACAAAAATGAACATGTACTCATGTATCAGATGATGTTTTGTTTTTATTTATTTATTTATCTTTATTGGAAAGTCAGATATACAGAGAGGAGGAGACAGAGAGGAAGATCTTCCATCCGATGATTCACTCCCCAAGTGAGCACAACGGCCGGTGCTGCGCTGATTCGAAGCCAGGAGCCAGGAACTTCATTCCAGGTCTCCCACACGGGCACAGGGTCCCAAGGCTTTGGGCCGTCCTTGACTGCTTTCCCAGGCTACAAACAGGGAGCTGGATGGGAAGTAGAGCTCCTGGGATTGGAACTGGTGACCATATAGGATCCCGGTGCATGCAAGGCGAGGACTTTAGCTACTAGGCCCGATATTTTATTTTAAAAAGAATATTCCTGTTTTCTTTTGAAAGGCAGAGCAACAGAAAAAGAGAGCACACGCAAGCTTCCCATGTATTGAGTCACTTCCCAAATGCCCACAACAGCCAGGGCAGGGCCAGGCAGAAATGAGAGGCCACTAGTATATTATTTTCCAATAATAATAATCATAATATATATACTTTTTTAAAGGGAGGGGTCCAGCATTGTGGCGTAGCAGGCTGCCACTTGAATCACCTGCACTCCGTGTCAGGATCAGAATGCCTGTTCAGGTCCCAGCTACTCCTGATCTAAGTCCCTGCCAATGCAGCTGAGAAGCAGGTGGTGTAAGGGGTGGTGGTTCAAGTATTTGAGTCCCTGGCACATGGAAGAGCCAGGTGGAGTTCCTGGCTCTTGCTGCCAGTTGAAAAATAAGACCAGTAGATGGAACATCTCTCTCTCTCTCTCTCATTCTGCTTTTCAAGTATTTTTTAAAAATATTTATTTATTTTTATTGCCAAGTCAGACCTACAGAGAGGAGAGACAGAGAGAAAGATCTTCTGTCTGATGATTCATTCCCCAAGTGACCGCAACAGGGAAGACCCCAAAAGCTGCTCCTGGCTTTGACATGACTCCGTCCTGGCTAATGAGGGAATCTGAGGAGTGAACCAGTGGATAGAAGATGTCTCGGGCTCTGCTTCTAACACTCCTGTAACTAATCCTTTCAAATAAATAAATGACTCATCTATATAAAGGACAAGGAAATCAGGCAATCCATGCCTTCCCATTGTTGCGAGCATCCCGGCTGCCTTGCTAAGCCAGTCTGTGGATCAAGTTCAGGGGCCGCGACTGGGCTTGCAAGTTACTTCCTAAGATGGAAGTGAGAGGGCAACCCAGCTACCAGGGGGTGCATTAAGATGATCCCAAGACGTGATCCCACAGACAGAAACGTCCTTAATATCCTCTCTCACCAACACAGTATCCACCCCAGCCTCCTTGCTGTCTGGAGCTTGCCTTTGTATAAATGCTTCCATTTGTCTGAAAGAACAACCAAAGCTTTTTAAAAATTATATATTATTCCAGTTTAATTAAATAAATGCAATGATATTCACAGCACACATTCCAACAATATTCAAATAAAGAGCCATGGGGGTATAAAGGCTTTTGAAAAATGTATATCCTTCATATAATGCATATGATTTTTAGCACACGAGTAAATACAGGGGGCCAGAGCCAATGTTTACACTAGGGGTCCACAACAGTCAGAGTCAGTGATCACAGAAATCCATAAACAAAACAAAATGAAATACTTCCTTCAACTTGGTTGAAAAAACTAGACATTCTTTTGCCAGATTTAAGTGATATAAAGGAGGGCTGAATTTGCAGTCATATCCCTGAAAGTGAGGGACCACGTTTTCCAATCCCTTACACTGTTACTCCACTATGAGCTTCCATAACTGCATCAACTCTGCTGCAAGCAGGAACACAGAGTAAGTGAAAACAGGCAGACTGCGGTCCTGCTCCTTAAGGCACTTAGAGCTGCACTGCGGGAGAGACTGCACCTGCACCTCTGTCTTGCGACATGGCTGAGTTTACAGTGAGGCTAGAGTTGCTTCTCATCTCGACATGAGCGTGCACATCTTCTGAACAAACTGGTAATAACAGAGTACTGGCTGGCCTTGACCACAGTCTTTGAACTTGTTTCTCCAGCTTTAGACACATGTACACTTTTTAAAAAATGGTTCCAAAAAAAGCGATATTTAAACTAAAAAGGGTTAAAAGGGAGAGCCTTTCTACAGAAAGTATCCCATCAATGGAATGTTTTGGTAAGAGGGAAAAAGTCTGTGTGACCTGCGTGGTTCGGTAACACAAGCAGGGTTTGAATGTGCTTACGGTACTCTACTGCCATCTGGAGGCAGCTTGAGGGATGTGCACTTTTCATTGTAGCCAAAGCAATTGGCTCTTACAGACCAACCTGTCATGCTTTCTCCCTTCCTCTCTTCACTGACTTTGTTAAACCTTTTACTTTGGGAAACAAAAATCTGCACTGAAAATTCTTTTTTTTTTCAAATGGAACATTAACGGAGGAGATGAGAGGAGAACGGCTCGGAGGAAAACTTCCCGATACCATGGAAAGCTTACATTCTTTTTCTTCTCCATCAGAAGAGGAAAGAACCAGCCAGATCTCACCTACACACCTGCAGCAGTGGTGTGCCCTGGAACCACAGTTAGTAAGTGACTGATGTGGTTCTGACGAGAACAGCAGAGGCAACCCAAAAAAGCAGATTTTCTTTTTTGGGACTAGTTTCTAGAAGTGTAATGTTCTTTGGACTCTGTCACCTTTTATTTTGAAAGTAAGATCAAGACCAGAAAGAAGAAAAAATATTGTATGCCTCTTATCAAAAACTAGAGGAACAGAAGCACTGAAGAAATCATTTTCAAAATTTCAAAAAAGCGTTTTCCAACCAAACTAACGAGGCGGTCCCAGAAGATGGCAAATGCTTTAACCAATGTGACACAAATGAAAGCCAAAACTGGAAGGTGGAACATTCCATTGCTCGATGCACCTGCAGCAACCTGCCAAGCAAAACGTGCTCCACCTGAGCACATGCAGTGTTCTCCCTGGGCCAGAGGGCTTCGCTCAGGGATGCCAGGGGAAGCCCTAGAAACAGGACTCTGCTCTGCAGACACCAGCTGTTCGTGGAGGAACCAGCCGTGAGCAGGTCAACTCACCCTTCAGGTCACTAGCAGTGGTGGCCATGTTCTTTCTTCACTCTTCCTTCTACACCAGTAGCTGTTAACTATCGCTCTTTCACAGACTGGCAGGTAAACCTGGCTACAGATCGTGGAGCAGACGACTAACATGTCCCAAGTCGGAACCTGGGTCCCCTGTAAACACTTCCCACCAACATATACCTTGTGGCCTCCAGGTCAACACATCGCATCACCAGGAATCCGGTGTTGACGCACTGTTACAACGCCTCACCAAGGTTGGGTCTGCAAAGGCCTAGGAAATCACTTACTGTAAGTGAAAGATCCTGCCAGAAGAGGACAACGACAGAACAGTCCAATATTCCAAAGATCCATACGCTGCGTTGCCTATGCCCAAGTTCAAATACCCGGGTCTCCACCCCCAAGATTTCTTCAGTGGCAGCCCTAGTGGGTTCAGAAGCAACACTGACCCTCTCGGAGACTCCACGCCACGGTTCTGATGAGCTTATTCAGGGCAGCCTAACGCTCATGGCTGTAAGCTGATCACAGCAGGAATGACTCTCCCCCAAAAAGAACAGAGCTCGGGCAGATCTCCTTGCAAGTCTTCTCAGGTGACAAACAGTGCATCGCATACGTCACCTCTGTTGTCAGTGACCTGTCGGTGGTCAGGCTAGTGTCTGCACAGTACAGTTCTCACACCTGACAGAGGGCATCCAGTGCCAGCATGGCTGCACCCGAACCAACCTGGTCTCCATGTGTTGTCTGCATCCCAGAATCTGTGAGGAGCCAAGTGGCGAGAAGCAGAATGAAAGGCAGTAAGCCATACTGTTTCGAAGGCAGCATTTTTTCAGAAGGAGGTCTCACTGCAGACAGACTCATCACAAGTCCAATTTCTTCAACTGTTCGTAGGTCACAAAGAACTGCAGTTAGGTGTTAAGGCTGACCAAGAAAAAAGAAACGCCATCTTAAAAACTCCAGCACAGGCCCGGCGTGGTAACCTAGTGGCTAAAGTCTTCACCATGCACACGATGGGATCCCATATGGGCACCGGTTCTAATCCCAGTGTTGCCTAGGAAAACACCTGAGTCCTTACTTCTTACAGACACTGAGCAGAACGAACTACTTCTAAATGATAACTAACAGGAGGGCTTACATAGACGATAATCTGCCGCTACTGCCTTTGTTACTCAGAAAAGGATACGATGATATTCCATGGACCAAGTCTCAACCAATTTGGCCAAAACCCTTTATAGAGAGCAAAGAATCCTTCATTCTTCCATGTCTGTTATAAGGAAAGAGACAAAGAGTTAACTCCAACTTTGCAAATACATCAAATGCATTATTGGTGGTCAGAATGACCTATTTTTCTTAAAAATTAAAACAAGATAGAAAGAAATGCCTACAAAATCTCTACCTCGTTTCTGTTCTCTAAAAGTTTCCATGAAGGTGAAAGACCAAATTCCCTGTGTCACAGAGGGCCAAGTGAGTTCACACAAATCAGGTGAACAGCAGTTGAGTGAATAAGAACTCAGACTGAATGCCCCATCATCTGACTGCTCAGACTGTTGCCACGTCATCTGGACCCTTAGACAGGTCAGGAAGCGAGAGTGGTCAAGACACCATCGTGACACTGTCTCCTCGGTTGCCGGGCAGTACTCGAGCGTACGACGCACCACGAGGCCAGTGGACAAGAAGCTCACAGTTGTCCCTGCTCCTTGGCTGTCACCCACCCAGGAACAGCAGGCCCACTGACGTACGCTGAGGACTCCAGCAAGACCGGCATGCTCCTGAGACAGGTCTCTGTGAAGCAGTCAGCCCAACCTCACTCAACAGGCAGGCAGCGTACTGGAAGGAGTCTCAGTCCTACTGTGATCCAACAGGACCCATTTTCTCATCCTTCACAGCACAGTGGCGGTAGGAGGAAAAGGAATTTTCGTTTCCAAGTATTCCCCTAGATTTGCTATGTATACAATATAACCCCAGAAGAGTAAGCATTGTATACCATATGTGCATCTCAGGCCTTTACTGCATCACTCATAGCCTGAACAATCTCATAATTCCTCTACATCTGAAATGGGGAAAAAAAAAAGCCTATGTAATTCCTGATGCTGCTCACCTGTACCAAGCAATCCAGGGTCCCTGTGTAGCCTGAGCTCCCGCCATGGCGAAGGACTCGCTGATTCATCATCCGTGTTCTCACGACATCCACGGGGTTTGAGGCCAAGGCCCCCATCAGGCCACAGGTGAAACTGGAACTGCGGAAACATCAGAACGCGAGTGTCCACTCAGCCATAGCAACCAGATCAAAGGCATGAAACAGCTTCTCCAAGAACAAGGCTAATGTAACATGGAATAGCATGAAGCGGGTTGAGGAGGAGGTCCTTAGTCAGAGAGCTGGACACATCCCTTAAAGGTCAGCACCAACTACAGGCATAGCTAACATCTATGAGGTCCTGGAATGCCAAAGAATCTCGGCAACACACAGGAAAGTCCTGCCAGGATAACCTGTTACAGCTATTAACCTGTAAGGCAGCACAGAGTATTTCTAGTCATAGCATAATTATGTTGTTCTGAGAGATTATAAAATACACAGAGAGACAGTGAGCTCCCATCCTCTGATTCACTCCCAAATATCTGTAACACTCAGGCCCAGTCTAGGACAAAGATTGGGAGCCAGGAACCCAATAATCAGAGCCATCACTGCTATTTTCCACAACCTACACTGGTAGGAGGCTGGAGTTGGGAACCAGAATTGAACCCATGGCATGCAGGTCGATAATAACGGCTAAGCTGAAGGTTTATTCCCTGATTTCCACATCACACAACATATGCATATATCAAATTACCACATGCCACACTATATCCACGCACATTTTTTTTATATCAGTTAAACATTTTCTTTTAAAGACTTCTTATGCTCTCCCGGGTCCATTAGCAGGGAGCTAGGTCAGAAGTGGAGCAGCAAGGACATGAACCAGGACTCATAAAGGATGCCAACATCACAGACGGCTGTTTTACCCCCAAACCACATTACCACAGTGCTGGCCCCCACTAAACATTTGCAAAATGAAGAAAAGAAAAAGAAGATCTCTAACTGTAATACTCTCAGGAGTCTTAGGTTTTTTACTATACTTTCAGTCTCACACAATGGGTACTGTTAAACTCAATCAAGTTTGGCTTTTACCAGCACCCACACATAACTGTCGCCTAACTTGCTATAAACGACCCATAACCTACCTTGAGAATAAACTTATAACAAGTAACTGAGTCTCAGTTGATCAGAGCAGTTGAACATTTCACCAGGCAGAAAGCAACCAAAACGTACCAAAGGGCCTGGTACAATAGCGCAACTGGCTGATCCTCTCCCTTCAAGCCCCAGGATTCTATATGGGCATTGAATCGTGTCCGGGTTCTTTCTGGTCCTAAGCCTACCTAGTTCCTGAACCTTCTGTCTGCTCAGTTAAACTCCTGTCTAAAGTTCTTCTTTGAGCAGGACCCACTTAGAGTTCTGTCTTGTGCCAACCACAAACTTAGCCTCTGCCCACTAGATGCCAGTGGTACTCCCCCTAGTGGTGACAAGCCAAATGTCTTCTTAAACAAAATCACAATCCCAGGGGCGCCAGTGCTGAGGAATGGTGAGTTAAGCAGCAGCCTACAGTGCTAAGAATTCCATAGGGTCACCAGTTCAAGTTCCAGCTATGCCTGGGAAAAAGTGGTGGAAAATTCCACTGAACAGCACAAGTGCGACCTGCACCATGGCTCAGTGACTAAATCCTCACCTTGCACACACCAGGATCCCATATGGGTACCAGTTCATATCCTGGCTGCTCCACTTCCCATCCAGCTCCCTGCCTGTGGCCTGGGAAAGTAATAGAGGATGGCCCAAAGCCTTGGGACCCTGCACCCGCGTGGGAGACCTGGAGGAGGTTCCTAGCTCCTGGCTTTAGAACAGTTCAGCTCTGGCTATTGCAACCATTTGGGGAGTAAACCAGTGGATGGGAGAACTTTCTTTCTTTCTCTTCTTTTCTCTGCAGATGTGTCTTTCCAATATAAATGAATAAATCTTCAAAAAAATTATATGGAAATGGCACAAATATGTAAGCCCTGCGCCTGCCTGCATGGGAGACCTGGACTAGCTCTTGGCTTCGACGTGGTCCAGCTCTAGCCATCACAGCCATTGAAGGAGTGAACCAGTAGATGAAAAACTCTGCCATTCTGCTTTCCAAATAAATATTTCATAGTGTCTTCTTGTAGATGTGTACTAAATTGCTACCCAAACTCATGCATACCTAAAACAATATTTTTTAAAAATCCATAAACATACAGGAAGTGGGTGTACACAGTGTCTCCCATGAGGCCCGAGAGAATCAGATGCTTTTTGGTGATGTCGTAGACTGGCAGCTCCACGCCAACGACAATGGCCGCCCTCTGAGCCGTGAGGGACACACCCTGGGTAAAACAGCAATAAGAAAAAAGAATCCAGGTTTGTTTCCATAGAACCAAGTCAGCAAAGGTTCCACCCCACAAACTACCAGCAGTTTTGTATGATTCTGTGCTCCTGGGTAGAAAAGTAGGATATCTGAACGGAAAACAGTACAGGGCAGGAACTCAAACGTGAAGTCTAATTCTAATTCTGACCCTGTGTATCACCTTGGGGCCAGACCCGGGACAGGTCACCCATCGGAGCTTCCAGCTTCCTGTCTCACATTCACACTGAATGCTCTTGAGGACTATCCTATGAGCTGAAGAGCCACGAGGACACCAGGAAACAGCATCCCACATCAGCAGCTGCCCCATCACAGACGCTCCTTAAGGGCCATGAACCACAGAAATCAAAACATACCAAGGAACTGAACCCAGTCACTTTCTCTATATAGAATTCAGAAAAAAGAAAAATGAAAATGATCCAGACCAAAGGAGCCTTCACTTCTACATGGGTTAGTCAAAACTCACTTCAGAACCACGGCCCGTAGCCCTCATGTTCCCACTTTACAAATACGGGATTGAAGGGACAGTGTTTCTTCTCCAAAAATGGGAAATGTCAGTCTTCTTCCCTTACTCCAGGTTGCCACTTGGGTTAAAGTGGTGGAGACACGAAAAATAAGTGTAAAGAACAGAAAAGAAGCGAGAACTTAAATGAGTCGGTGGGATGTGTTGTTCCAGCTCACCTTCCACAGGCCTCTCGCCCCCTCCTGCTGGTAAATGTTGATGAAGTTGCCTATCATGCCCCCTTGAATGGTGTTGTTCTGGGCCTGCATCCGGATCTGGGGATTGTTGCAGAGACCAGCATGAGAAATGAACACTGGCGCACCCCTTCCCTCCACCAGCAGGACAACTCTGAAAGTCGGGCAGTCTGAGGTTGCCATGAACAGAGAAAGCGCTGTAAAGCACATGTTACTGGGATGTGCCACTTCAAAACATCCTCAGGAGAAGGAATATGTGTAAGAACTGGTTCTTAGAACTCTGGGAGCTCCTAAAAGCACCTCATAGAATCCAAAGAGACCTCCATGAAACAGTTCATCAAGAATCCAAAAAGAAATCAATTATTTAAAAAGTCTTTCAAGAGGAATAGAAAATAGTATAGGATACCCTTTTATTATATAAATTTTATTTTTGATGAGTTTTACATATTTGATTAGGGTGTAAAGGGTCAAGGGCTAGAAGAAAGTAGGTGGAACCATGTAGAAGGGTACTTTAAAAACTTCATGGAAATGTGTATTCTGAAAAAATTATGTATGGGTGTCAATTTTTTTGTGTTTGTGCACCAAAATAAACACCTTTTACTTCTCTTTCCACAACCTTTTGAAGTACTCTTGCAATTCCCTAAAGGTTAATATGTGGGAAACAGAGAAGCTGATGGTAACTTTGAAGATTTCATATAATTAATAAGTCATCTGATGTACTTGGCAGTGCCAGGCACAAGCAAGCATAGTTCTTAAATTAGCTGCTGCAAGCCACTACTATTTCCAATCTGCTGGACCAAACGCTATGCAGGCCAGCTGGCCCTGTGATGGCCACATGACTAGTGTAATGCTCGGATAAGCCTCACAGAGGCCGTGGAATCCACGGGACCAGGATTCCACATACTGTTGGATACAGCTCTTGGACTTCTTAAGAAATGAAAAGGGATTTATTAAAACCAAAATAAAATAGAAATGATGTCTAATTTTTTTTAGAGAACAAATATCACCATTAACTTCCACAGGGAACTGTTACTGCCACGCTGACATGGGAAAATAAGCCAAAACAAAGAGACTGCCTCTTAATAAGCCCTGCGATGTGTTCACGAAATTGAAGGAGTAGGGATGTCTTTGCCCAGCTCTGTAGCCTCAACACCGGTCTGTTTACGGCAAAAGTGCCCCATCGCTCTGCTTCTCCCACGCTGTCCCTTGGCTATGGTCCCAGGATCACTGCAGTGGAGCCAGCATCCTGCCTGTTAGCAATCCTATGGCACAGGGTGCTGAGCACACGGCACAAGGCAGGGCCATAGGACACTAGCTAGACCACAGGGAAGGGGAGGAGAGGCTGAGAAAAACCTCCTAGGAGGGGTCCAAAAGTAATTGATGCCGAATTTATATTAGTTACTTCCTCAGCTTATTCCTTTCCTAAAGGAACTGAAGGAGGTAACATCCCCAATATTCTTAGTAAAGTCATTCTAATGCATTACGTCTGATCAGAGCAAATACCTACTTTAATTTGTATTTTCCAATATAACATTAACCATTAAGAAAATGCAGCCAGCTGGGCCCGGCACGATGCTCAGTGGTTAAGGTCCTCACCTTAAACACTCCAGGATCCCATATGGGCACCGGTTCTAATTCCGGCAGCCCTGCTTCCCATCTAGCTCCCTGCTTGTGGCCTGAGAATGCAGTCGAGGACGGCCCAAGACTTCAGGACCTTGCAGCCACATGGGAGACCCGGAGGAGGCTCCTGGCTTCAAATTGGCTCAGCTCCAGCCATTGTGGCTGCTTGGGGAGTGAACTGTTGGACAGAAGATCTTCCTCTGTTTTTCCTCTCTGTATATCCGCCTTTCCAATAAAAAATAAATAAATCTTTAAAAAAAAATGCAGCTAGCCAGGAATCAGGTCTGGGAATCACCTCAGAAGAAGTTTCTTTGGGGATCCCTCCAACTGAACTGCTGATCGCAGAACCCCAAACATGAAGAGATTATTTCAGCCAGTGGATTCTTAAGAGATTTCATTGTGATTGGAATGGCGAGATTGGCAGCAATTCAGAACTGCTAAACTATCAAAACTGCATGAGCAGGACCTCCGGAGCATGCCCCACACAGGAGACCTGGGATGGGTGGGAGACTGGGTGGGGATTTTCCCTTTATCTCACCCCTTACCCTGCACACAAAATAATAATAATAATAATAATAATAATAATGTAGGAACAATGATCTTACCCTCTTTCCTGCAGCCCTTGACCTTTTGTGTCCTAATCAACTATGTAAAAATTATTGAAATAAAAGAATTAAAAAAGAAAAAAATGCAGCCAGCAATCATTAATGAGTAGTTGAGATATGTATAAAACGTGTATATTTTTTGTTTAAATGTTACTTGGTTTTTAGCAGAATCAATGTGATTTGTAGATAAAATTCCAAGAACCTAATGATATTCCCTTCCTCCCTGCACCCTCCCCCAAAAGACCTGTGTTTAATGCGCCTATAAAACAAAGATTTTCAACAAGAAAAAGAAATTCAACTGCACCCAAATCTGATTTTTTTTCTCATTATTCAATCAACAAAACCCATGTCTCCAGAATGAGCTCTCCTTTTGAACTCATCTGTATCAGGAAAAATCGATTGGTGGGCATTTAAAAGTTAAGAAGTCTTGGCACTTCAATTATGAACTGATTCACATATACACAGCATACATTATATTTACAGATTTCAAACGTCGTTCTCAGGGGGAAAATCTTGGACATGTGAATAAAACTAGCAGCACTGTGGCTTACTTTCAACACATCCGTCGGATTAGCGATGGATGAGGAGATGACTCCAGAGAGAATCCCGCAGATCACATTTACCAGCAGGGTTTCATCTGTAAACCAAGACACAGTGCGAGACTTTCAGTCACACGGGGTTCTTCCACTGAGAGACTCTAACATAGCGTAACTCGCTCACACGGGACTTGTTCACTTTAAGAGAAAAAACTGTGTACTTTTTGAATAAGCCATTTTTAAAAGACTGAGAGCTTTTCTGGTTAAAGGGATTTTGCAAAACAAAATTTTTTGATCCCTAAAAAGGATCACAAATCATCCACCAATTTGCTTGGTATTAAAGGTTCAGACCATCATAATTCTGATGGTGTATATATGTTAAAAGAATTTAACATGTCTATGAGGGAATATGGAGACTTTACATAGAAAGTGTTTACAAGTGTCATATATAGTCTTAAATACACTGAAGTACTTTCTTTTTTTTTTTCTTTTTAAGATTTATTTATTTCTGGATGTGAGGGCAATCTGGCTGCGACATCTATCACCCCGTTAATCTCCAGGGTTGATTCGGCTGATCTGGCTGGCTAGGCGGGTGTCCCCTTCCTCCCTCACCGCTCCATGTGCGTCCCTCCCAAAGCTGCGCGCTCCGTCGAAGGGGACGACCATCCCTGCTAGAGGAGGACCCGTCTGGGTCAAGGGTATATGAGTAGCTGCGCTCCCCTGCTAGAACCTCCAAATAAGCTCTCAAGATTTATTTATTTTTTTATTGGAAAGCCAGACTTACAGAGAGGAGGAGAGACAAGGAGGAAGACCTACCATCCAATGCTTCACTCCTCAAGTGGCCACAACGGCTGGAGCTGAACCAATCCAAAGTCAGGAGCCAGGCGCCTCCTCCAGGTCTCCCACGTGGGTGCAGGGTCTCAAGGCCTTGGGCCATTCTCGACTGCTTTCCCAGGCCACAAGCAGGGGGCTGGATGGGAAGCAGGGCAGCCAGGAATAGAACTGGTGCCTATATGGGATTCTGGCACATTCAAGGCAAGGACTTAAGCAGCTAGGCCATGATGCCGGGCCCTGAAATACTTTCAAAGCACCTTAGCTTTTGGTCCCCAACTCTGGCCAGCGTTCCTCTCATTGTAAAAGGCATGGCAAGTTCTGTGGGTAAAAATAAAGTCACAGAATCAGCTGGCCATACAACATTAAAACTCAGTCTCTGATACCAAGAAATGTACTCAGTGCTTTCCTGAAAAGCAGCTACTAACTACAGGATTTTAGAAAAGTATCATCTGGGGGGCCCAGCACTACGGCATGGTAGGTTGAAGACCTAGCTACTCCACTTAGGATCCAGTTCCCTGCTGGTGGCCTTGGAAAACAGTAAAAGCAGCCCAAGTGTTACGCTCATGCCATTCACGTGGGAGACTCGGAAGAAGCTCCTGACTTAGGTCTGGCCCAGCCCTGGCCATTGCAGCCATCTTGGGGAGGAGCATTGGTGAACAAGCAGATGGAAGATCTATTAGTTTCTGACTTTCAAGTAAAAGTAAATAAATCTTTAAGGAAAAAAAGAGAGAGTGGGGAAGGATGGAGGACAAGATATAGAAAAGGAAAGGAAAAAGAGAAGAGAGGAAAGGAGCGGAGGGCAGAGAAGGGAAGGAAAAGAAGAGAAGACCTGTGTGTAGGCAGAAATTGAACAACCTAGCTTCTGGATGAGGTACTCTGCTGTTGCCTCTAAGTGTTTGTAGTGAGGACCCCATTAAGTGTTACTCACTACAGTACAACTGATAACTGGCCTGCCCTTTTCTCTGTTAATATTTACTTCTTTTCATCTACTTGAGAGACAGTGTAAGTAAGAAAGAGATCCAGACAGAGATCTTTCATCTGCTAGTTTGTTTCCCACTCAGCCAGGGAACTCCATCCAGGTCTCCCCAAAGTGCAGTAGGGGCCCAAACACCTGAGCCATCGTCTGAGAAGCTGGATCAGCCAGGACTCCAACAGCCACTCTGATGGGGGCGGACAGGGATCCAAAGAGCAGCTGTGATGCTGCCTACCACGGGCTCACTTGAAGATAATGCATTTAGATGCCACACCCTGAGTTCTCCTCAGCAGTCATGTCACAAGCAGCTGAAGAAAATCTGCTCCTGAACAACCTGATAAAAGACACACAGCCCATTGCTGTCCATCCTGGAAAATGGTCTCACCTTCTGGCCGTTCAACAAATAATCGCTTCAAGCTCTGGTAAGTGCCTATCTTGATGGTGCCATAGGAAGCCTGGCGTAACATGGCAGGGGCGATCCTGTCAAAGCCAAAGCACAGAGAGAACAACCTGAAAATCACAGGGCGTCTTCCCATGATCAGACCACATGCAAATGGGTTTGTCCAGCAAAACAGATGGGTTCAGTGTGACTGGTACTCATTCTGAGTACACTAAGCCCCTTCTCCATGCAAAGGTAAGTGAATGTGGAATGGGAGTGCCCATTCTCATTAAAATGTGAGTTTCCCTTCCCCAAGAAAGCTGCCTCAGCCAGGCCATGCCCTCCCAGCTGCTTGGGTACTTTCTGTTGCTATAGTTTCCACATCCTCAGGTTTCCCACTGCAATAGGGAAGCAAGTCTAATACAAAACCGGAAAAAAACAAGCCTTCTCCATCTCATGTGCCTCTCCTGCTATGCTCCCAATTCATGCCCACCCGACGGCCAGTTGGGTTCCCTCTGGCTCTCTCTCTCAAAGCTCACCTCAGTTGGGTGACCAGCTGACATTTCTATTGCTAATCCCAGGATGCTTTGCAAGAACCTTACTTAGCCTCTCTGCAGTATCTGTTCAGCCCTAGCTGTCACCGACTCCTTCTAGAGCCATGGTAACATCACCTTACCTTCTGCCATCTCTCTCTTCTCTCCAGAATTCTGTGTCCCCTGGGGATCCCATCCTCCACACACTCCCTGGGGTGGCTCATCTACTCATTCCCATGGCTTCAACCTCCACCTAAACACTTGATGATTCCTAAGCCCATGTTTCCAACACTTGACTCCAATCCATGGGGCCAACTGCTCCCTAGAGTCTTAATTTTAATGTGCTACATGTAACTTCAGACCAAGCATCAATGACCTGAGCACCTTCCTTTCCATTCAGCATTCCTTTTCTGTTCTCTAGGCCAGGGAATGTGAGCCCGAAGATACCCACTGGCTAACACTAGAAACTGTGACAATAACCTTCTTTTCTGCTTCCCTCCTACCTGATTTGTGTATCTGGGGATTGTACATTGTATAGCTCACGCGGTATGATCAATCCTACAACCATTTTCCAGCTTGCATTCTTTTCCCATCACCCCCAGAACAACCGTATCTTCTCTGCTTCCTATACAACAGCCCAGCTTCTAGTGTTCCTTTCCCTCAGGCAGGCAGATACCTTGTCAATCTTCCTACTTAAAACCCTGCAGTGGCTGCTATCTGCTACAGGCACCAAAAACTCAAGCATTTAACAGGCACTAGGCAGAAGCTGGGAGTGACTGAGGAAGGCTGGATCTAACTTCTAACTGTGTGAATGCACACACACACACACACACACACACACATACACACACATACACAATGCAGGTGTCAGAGGCCTTTTATTTTACTATTTTTTTAAACATGTAGCAAATTTTTACTTATTTAAATATTTATTTTTATTGGAAAGACAGATGTACAGAGAGAAAGAGAAATAGAGAAAGATCTTTCATTCACTGGTTCACTCCCCAAATGGCTGCAATGGCTGAAACTGAACTGATCTGAAGCCAGAAGCTTCTTCTGTCTCCATAGTGGGTGCAGGGTCCCAAGGCTTTGTGCCATCTTTTGCTGCTTGCTTGGGCCAGAAGTGGGGAGCTGAATGGGAAGCTGAACAGCCAGCACGTGAACTGGCAACTACATAGGATGCCGCTGCTTGGAGGTGGAGAATTTGAGCCATTGCACCAGCCCTGTCAGAAACATTTTATAAACTGGGAAAAATACCCTCAGTTCTCACTACTGTTATCAGAAATTCAGGAATATAGGTCTGATACTGTCTTCTTGGAAAGATAGAAACCCAGATTTTATGGACAATTCCTCATTTTTTTAAATTGCTCAACTGGCCCATCACAATGGCATAGTAGTTTAAGCCTCCATTGTGTTATCAGTATCCCACATGGATTCCAGTTCAAGTCTCAGCTGCTCCACTTTCAATCCAGCTCCCTACTTGGGAGAGCAGTGAAAGATAGCCCAAGTCCTTGGGCCCCTGCACCCATGTGGGAGATCCAGAAGAAGATCCAAGCTCCTACCTTTGAACTGGCTCAGCTACAGCTGTTGAGACCAATTGGGGAGTAAACCAGTAGACAGAAGATACTTTGCTGTCTATCTCCCTCCCTCTCTCTGTAACTCTGTCTTTCACACAAAAGTAAATTAAACAAATGCATGTATTAAAAAAAAATAGCTCAACTGGAAACCAAAACTCTTCAGGGATTGGTGGGCCCATGTGCGGCTGTGACCTCCAGGCTGGAACCAGGGATATACTGGAGATAGTCAGCATGAGTGCGGTATCCATGTACTGACTTTCATAAACAGTTGAATTCCACCTCCTGCTACTTATCAACACACATACTAGAGCCACAGTGAAGCACTCTTACTTCCCAAGATAGACTATGCACTTCTATCTGAACATAGCTCCCCTCGAATTACACCTGATTGATGATTATTCTTGATCCTTCAAGAACTCTAGTACTTTCCAGACTTCCTCGTAACCCATTTACACCTTGGTAGCCCCCACAAAGCTGTGGCTCCTTAAGACGGTACGCCACTGCAGATCCCATGTTTGATCCTGGATTCACTCTCACCTTTCCTTGGGCTCTGAAGGGTGGGTGACACCCAGGCTCCACCACAAGCTGAATTCTAGGTGGGTTCAGCCAGTAGGGAGAGGCAGGTATGGAGGGTGTGGTATAGAACAGGTTGTTTTCTCTGCCTGGGCACCACAGAAGCATCCTTCCTTCAACATCTCTAGGGTGAAACCTTGATAATTCAAAATAGTTATAGGAAAAAGCAATTCTTCAGAATGCCAAACTGAAGAAAAGGTTGTTTTTAGATAAATGTAATCTTTATGTTGTTGTCTGAACTTTAAACATCACAAACACAATTTCTCCAAAACATGTACTTTGTGAAATCTACATTTAGAAAATAGTGTTGACGATACAGGCAATGAATCCTCCAAGCTAACTGCTCTTATCAAATAAACCACAAACCTTTGCTTTTTTCTCTGGGAAGTTTGTGTCCAAGGTCTGGCCATCAGGAAGGGTCAACAGGCCAGTACAAAGCCGGCAGAGGTACTCACCCTGAATACAGCGCCTTGACTCCTTCCTCTCGGCCGATTCTCACCAAGGCGTGCAGCATGCCTCGATACCTGATCTCTCTATAGTTCGCATCATTCGTCTGGCCTTGAATCTGGAGTCGTGTCTTGGTTAAATCAATTGGAAACGTGCCTGAAAAAAGAAACAGTTCAATAACTAAAGCCTGGTGGCATGGGTTTCCTGAGGAAGTGTTCACAATGTAGTATGAACCAAGAAATGGTACACACTGTGGTATTTTTCCTATTAGTTAAAAAAGAGGTACCAAAAGTCACACAAAACAAAACAAAAAGCCTATTTTACTTTCTTAGGATGTTTATTTACACTTCATCTTGTTCTACAATGGATTCAGAAAGGTTGCACTGCTGTCAAAAGAATATACATGGAATGAGGTATGTAAGCAAGAAATCCACTTAAAAACATATGCTACTACTTGGCATATATGTGAGGGTTAAAATTTGGCTCAGTGTAAAGGAAAAGAGGCAAAGCACTTCATTTTTTTTTTTTCCCCGCAAAGACTTCTTTATTTGAAAGACAAAGTTGCAGAGAGAAAGAGAGAGACAGAGATTTTCCAAACAATGACTCATTCCATAATGATTGCAATGCCAGGGCTAGTCCAAAGCCAGGAGCCACGCATTTCTCCCTGGTCTCCTGCATCGATGCATGGGTCCAACCACTTAGGCCACACTCTGCTGCTTTCCCAAGCCATACACAGGGAGCTGCATTGGAAGTGGAGCAGCCAGGACTTGAACCAGTACCCATATGGGTGGCAGCTTTAACTGCTATGCCGTAGTGCTAGCCAAGAAGTTCATTTTCTAAAGAAGTTTAGAAAACAGTCTGGGGCCTGGCGCGGTGGCGCAGTGGTTAAGGTCCTCGCCTTGCACCCCCAGGATCCCATATGGGCGCCGGTTCTAATCCCGGTGGCCCCTCTTCCCATCCAGCTCCCTGCTTGTGGCCTGGGAAAGCAGTCGAGGACGGCCCAAAGCTTTGGGAACCTGCACCCGCGTGGGAGACCCGGAAGAGGCTCCTGGCTTCGGATCGGCAAAGCATCGGCCGTTGCACTCACTTGGGGAGTGAATCATCAGACGGAAGATCTTCCTCTCTGTCTCTCCTCTCTGTATATCTGCCTTTCCAATAAAAAAATAAAATAAATCTTTAAAAAAAAAAAAAAGAAAACAGTCTGAAATAAAATCAGGAGGCGGGGAGGGGGATAGGGCATTGTCATGGCACAGTAAGTTAAGCTGCTACTTGCAATGCAGACAATCCCGTGAGCCCCAGCTTAAAAGCCCCACCTGCTCCACTTCCAATCTAGCTCTCTGCTAAAGCATCTGGGAAAGCAGCAGAAGATAACCCAAGTTCTTGGTCCTCTGCAAAACGTGTGAAGGACCCAGGTGAAATTCTTTACTTCCGGCTCCTGGCCTTGGCATTGCCCAGACCCTATCACTGCAGCCACTGAGAGAGTGAAACAGTGGATGAAAGATCTCCAACTCTCTGTAACTCTGCCTTTGAAGCCAATCAATCAATCATTTCAAAACTAAACTAAAATAAATCTGATAGAGCAAATGGAACTCAACACCAGACAGAAGATTAACTCACTGTGTCAACAGGAAAGCTTGCCAGTATACAGACTGGAAGCTTTGACCCTCACCCTAGTCCCCAGGGCTCCTCAGGCAAGGTATCTGACCTAGGTCAGCAGGTCCAGGCTCACACTGGACACTCAGAAGCTGCCCAATTGATATTGCAGAAGAAATGATTCCAGGGAATAAACAAATATAGGAATGCACAGGGTCCAACGTCAACTCAAGCAGTGAGGAGGGAGTCACAAATAGCATGTGGCCAGTGCATGCAACTGGAGTGACCTGACAGTTACAGCTGATCTCATCTGTCTTGGGGAAAGCCCCAGGGCTTCCTAACCTCCTTACCCCAAATGGGTGAACAGTGGCAAAGCAGGGTGGAGGGGACAGGAGCAATCCAAAAATGATGCACAGTATCTTTGGTCCTAGGCTCAACTTTCTCCCCCACTAAACTATGAGCCTCAGGCCGTAAATAAGTGACTTCAATCTGTGTCATAAAACCTTTACCAAAAGGGGCTTGTTCAGTAGCATTTGAGGCTATTTCTGCCTGCCTGCAGCAAGAGCATCCCACATGAACATCAGTTTGAGTCCCAGCTACTCTATTTCTGATCTAGTTCCCTGCTTGGGACCTGAGACGGCAGAGGTTGGCCCAAGTACTTGGGAAGTTGGCCCACATGGGATATCCAGAAGCTCCTGGCTCCTGACTTCAGTTTGGCTCAGTTCTGGCCAACACAGCCATTTGGAGAGCGGACCAGAGGAGGGAAGATTCTCTTTCTCTCCCTCATCTCTTATTTTCCCTGTATAACTCTGCATTTCCAATAAAAATAAAAACTCCTTTCAAAAATTACCCAAAAAATGGCATTTCTGAAATTTAAGATTATGTCATAAGCTTACATTTTTGCACTTGAACTGCACTCACACCAAAGGCAAAAAACTGCAGGCCTAAGTTCCAAACAGCACTCCTTGCAGCCGGCCAAAGGGGCGCCTTACCACATTCGGCCGTGATGGAGGCCAGTCCTCCATACACGAAAGGCTTCCAGCTGAGGGCTGACATTCTGCTGCCGTTACTTCTGCTTTGATTTATGCACACATCACCTCCGGTGCAGTTCTTCCTGGACACAAATGGAAGATGTTTCAAAGCTGGAACTGCATACACAGGCACTTTTTTCTCCAAACCCTCTTTCCTGGGTATAATCACTGTAACCCTTCAGATATAATCACTGCAACCCCCTACAACAGCTGGTCTCAATGCAGCAAAGCTTCCCTTAGCCCCAAAGCCCAAATCAGCTGTTTCTAATTTCTTGTTATTCGTGGCCTCCATTTTCATTCAAAAAGTCGTCTTCTTGATGAAACCTAGGTATATGTGCATGTTTTCAGCGCAGAGCACTGGCGGCTAGCCTATTTTATCTGGGCAGCCTATTTTATCTTAGATCTGTTCTTATGCAACAAAGACTTGCCACTCATTTGACAACATCTGAGTACAGAGCAGGAGGCAAGGCATTCCTCAGATGCACTGACACAGAAAAACATTGCAAATCGAACCTGTGCTGGAAGGTAAAAATGAACTAAAAGTTACCATGATCTGCTTCAAGCTTGCGTTCTATCAATGTCAGCTCACGCCTCCTAGCCACTATATGTGAACAGCTGGGAGGCAGCTTGGCATGATGGAATGAGGCCGAGTCTGGTCAAAACCACACACTTTCTTCCTAGGAGCAGTTCTTGCTGACCTTCACGTCTAGGTTCAAAACCCTCATGGTGAGAGCAGGCATTTGGTCTAGGGACTAAAGACACCCCGCTCCCTCGCAGGAGCACCTAGTTTGATTCTTGGCTTTGCTCCCAACTCCAACTTCCTACCATTTCAGACCTTGGCAGCCGTGATGGCTCAAGTAACTGAGCTGCTATCATTCATACAGAAGACCTAGATTGACTTCCAGGTTCCCAGACTTGGCATGGCCCAACCCATGGCTATCGCAGGCATCTGGAGGATGACCCAGTTAGCACAGGGTGGACACCAACTTCCCCAACTCCCATAAACTAATTTTTAAAAATCATCACAGCATTTACTACAACCATTCAGGAGCACAGCTCGCACTTACTTCACTAAGCTAAATAAAATACCTACCTTTGCCTATTGTAGGAATTAAATATTATAACGACAATCAACAGATGCCTTCTATCTTCTTTTCCCTTACCCGCTGTGACAATTTACTCATTGGCACCTTGACCCAGGTTCTCCAAGTTCATGAGCTTTGTAGTTCTGTGTGATTTGAAGTGGGAAATCTGGTCACATAGCCATCAACAGGAAACACCTGCAAATCAGTATATGCATGGATATGATACCAGCCATAACTACTGTTGGTTTAAGCCATATTTTACTTTACTAGTCATTACTGGCAAGTAAGGCACCCCGCGATTTTACTATGCATGTATTTAGTGAGTTCCCAAGTCTGCTTTTCCCAGAAAGTGACTGCTTGTGGAAGTGCCCTTCACAAGTCACTGTGGCCCAGAATGTCAGTTCTCAACAGGCTTGGAACTTGCTTAAGCTAATACACACAAACACACGAGACCCAGAGATTACTGGATAAATCTACCAACGCTCATTCCTCATTTACAAATATTAGCCAAAGTCAGAGGGGTCACAAATAAATAAGGTAGAAGGCTTCCTAGATATGGAACTTCAAACTTATATGGTTTTACAAAGCAAGCTCTGTTTCCCTTCAAATCTTCTGTACTGACTATTCCTGAAAACAATTAATAGTAACTCTTAGCCTACAACATCTCCAAACTGATGATTAATACTATAAGTCAGATTGGAAAACCACATTAATTATAGATCCAATCATTTATTTACCAGTAATTCTTGCTGCAACCCTCTTTTGGATTTTTCTTTGTTAAGCAGCAAAATAGTAACTACATACCAGTGGAAATACTGTCACTAACAGAATGTTCTCCATAAACCATCTCAGCGGGTTTCCTCAACTTGCGTGGGTTAGGAAGACAATTACTGTCAGCTTCACTGACAGGGCAGGCCAGTAAAATCACAGACAACCTCTTCCTGCAGCCACTCGATGAGGTTCTCCGGGCTGCAGCCCAGGGTCCTGGGTTGCTCCTGACCAGCAGTGAGTAAAATCAGCAACGGCCAGCTCCTGCCACAGGACATTGTGCAATCACTCAGAGACATGCTTTACATAGTTAATTTTTCAGCTGATTCTTCTTTGTATCAGTCTTATTATTAGGGATCTTTATTTTTCCTCTATAATATATTGAGAGGAAAACAAACATACACAAGCTATAAACAATATTCTCCAAAATGTCAGCAAACACTTAGGGGAGATGGGATTATAACTGATCTTTTTCATTAAAAAACTTAATGACTACATTGTCACATGACCTCATGCCATCTCACTGATGAACCTATTGGTCTTGTGCCATGACTACCATTGTTCTGCTGGTTTGGTTTTAATGAGCTTCAATCACACTTTCCTCTGATAGTTTTAACATTTTGTTTTTAATATTAGAACCTCAAGCCTGTTAGTCAATCAGAGCTCCAAAAGGCTGTGGAACTGCCCCCTCAAGGTTTTCTCAGGTCACGGAGACACACTCTTCAGATGTGTCATCCAAATCAAACTTAACTTCCATGAGTGAGGGTCCTCTCCTCGGCTGGCAGCCCAGTCAAACTCTAACAAAGCACTTCCTATTCCATTCCGGTTTGCTACCGAGAGGCTAAAAACAACTTCTTGGTTCTTCCGTTCTGCTTACTGAATGCTAGGACCGGTTTCCCTAGCGGTTAAGACCACTGGGTGTCATGTTAATGTCTGCTGAGTTCAAGAGACAATCATTTGGCTTTAGAGAGAACTAGAGAGCCCGAGGAGTTGGGCAAATATCCAAACACCAAGTACAAGTAAAGACTGTGTCCACCAAGCTATACTGGCCACAGCAAGCTGTCCCAGGGCTTCAGATATGAGGCTACAATCTCTGCTCAACTAACCTGTTGCTTGGGGGCCACCCGCTTTGGAGGGAGTCCCCTTGTACACACTCCTGAACGGTCGCTGGAAAAATCCCGATTCTCCCTGCTGATGTGCAGAGACAGGTCAAGATAGAGACCTTATTGCAACACCTGGCAGCTTCTCAACCCCAGTTCCAGACAGGCAGGAGGAGGGAGAACTTGTGGGTCACTTCCCACCTGGTGCCCCTTGTCCAGCACAGCGCACGGCCGGACCAAGAAGCCAGACACAACCCTAACGGCACTCGTTGTCACGACTGAAAATATGACCTGGACACTGCCACACATTCTCTACCCAAAGGATGTTATTCCGGGGGATTCTGCCTACACCTAGGATACAGGCTAAGTGACCCAGTCCTCACTACACTCTGTCCACAGTTACCTGACGTTTTCTTGCCCTTGAGCTCACTTACACAGCTGCGAAGGGAGGGCACCCCACAGGATTTGCTACTGGCCCTTCCGAAAGTTTCCCAAGTTCTTCACATGTAACTCTTCAAAAATTCTCTCTGGTGCTTGGCCTTCCCTTTTCCACCTGCTAATGAGCCTCATCTAATCTTGTTCCCTGTCAACTGTCCCCTCATGAACTTTTCCCATTTCCTATTCTTTTCAACGGCGCGGAAAGGAGAATTAAGCTCCTTAGGGGCTTTACGAGACAGACACGTGGGGGCTTAGGAACAGAAAAATTCCTACTTTACATGAATGCGCCAAGGCAGTGGTCATAAGGTCCTGGTGTCCGTGCAGTAGGTGTTAATGACACGAAGGTGTGAAGAGAACAGCTCCCCTGCTTGGCAGGGCCTGGGGGAGATTACAGCTGTTTGGCAGGGCCCGGCGGATTTCTCTCTGACCACCTTGATGCAGTCTCACCCCCTGTTTGCATGGACACTCAACCACCCCACTAAGAATTCTGCAATCTATTAGGCATAGTTTGCCCCTGTGAGATGGCTTTTACAACCAACATGAGCTTAAAAGTTAATGTTACTGATAATGTCTTGGTCAGTGGGCCTTTAACTGCGCACAGGAGTACAATTAAGCCCATGCTGTTTCCAGACACCTTATTGTGTGCTTACCCATTGCTCTGAGACCTGGCCCAAATATTTAGCATACTTTCTGGGAAATGGCCTGATAAGAGTTTCACAAACTAATGGAAGTGATGGGAGTATGGGTTGAAATTGCTATGACAAAAAATATAGCTATCCTGTTACTGGGACCCTAAAGGTTATCCTGTTATAATTACTGTGACCCCAAAAGGCCATCCTGCTATAGCAAAAATATAGTTACTGTGATCCTAAAGGCTATCCTGCTATGGCAAAATATAGCTACTGTGACCTTAAAGGTTAGCCTGTCCTTGCAACTCTCAACTCTTTAGAACATAGTAAATGTAGTTGCTTTGGCTGCCTTCATAATTTTTTAACTAGAGAAAATATAGGGTGACTTTACTAACATCATGTATACTTTTGATTATTGTTTGATCATTTATGAGGTTGTAGAGCCTACAATTGTAGAGGGATTTAATGTTTGAAACTTTTGTCTTAGATTTTTATATTTTTTCTCTTTTAATGTATTTCTCTCATTAAGTGATGGATAAGTTATAGAATAAGAATTGTAGTAGGAATGTATTACTGAATAAGATGTGTTGTCTACTGAGAAAATGTTGGCTGCAACATCAGAATGGATAATGCCCTGTCTTAAGGTGAAACTATCTGTAGAGTTATCTTTGGAAACATTTACTTGCCCATTGTAGAGCAGAAACCTAAATGGAGTAAACATGGCTCATTGCTAATTGCAGTTCCTTCCGTCGTTGTAACTCTTGCTTAGTTAGCAAACTGTGTGGGCCTGCAGACCTAATGACCTTTGGTGCCAATACCCTAATCCCCATAAACCAAGTTCTCAGCCCTTTTCCCATGCATAATTCAAGGTAGGGGTCTGGTTGTCACAGACAGCACCAAGGATGGGACCCAGACTTGAGGGAAGTAAGTAGGGGCTGGCAAGCCGAGATAAGCAAAGAATGTGGGGTTCTCCCTCACTCGCCTCTCAAGCAGTTGTAAATTGTGCCCCCCTTGAAGCTATGTCAAAATGCCCTAAAAAAGACTGTGTACTGCTTCTGTATAAATAAAGCGGACAGCTTTCTCGCGTGGTCCACAATGATGTTGGAATTGTAGTGGTCCGTCTCTTCTTTCTACGCCTACTTCACGCACCCTTCCCGAGCTCCAAACTCAGCTGGAGCTGGACTCCGGCAATAAGGCTTGGCAGTAAGCAGCTAAGTCCAAGACCAAGATGTTCACTTCAGCGGGGGACCTCGGGGCGGTCTGCAAGGGCTGGTCCCACCTCGTTCAGCTCCACCGGAAATCTTACATCCACAAAGAGATGAAAGTCCAGAGCTGCGGGAACTTTCCGAGCACACTCATTGGACCCGTGTTTGCCAAGGGGAGCCAACCGGGCACACCGCGTGAGCGCTTCAAAGTGCAGCCGCGCCAGCCCGAGTGGGAGTGGGAGGGATGCGCCGGCCCAGAGCCTGATGCAGAGGCGGCGTCAGGCCGGCATAACGCCCAGGCCCCATCACCTGCAGGCGGTTCTTAAGGGGCGGACCGGCCAGCACATCCAGGCAGGGCAGCAGCCCGGAAAGCGAGCCGGGCCCGGTCCATCCGCAGAACGTCGCGCCCCCACGGAGCCCGGCCCCGCGCCAATCCCCAACGACGTCCCCCATTGTGGGGTTGCCGCGGAGCAGGCCGGCAGGCGAGAGCAGCGGCGGGCAAGGCACTTACCCGGCGGCCGGCGGACTTTCTGCAGCTGCTTCCTCCCACCTCGGCTGCGCCGCGGAGTGTCGGGAACCGAGCACTGGGGCTGGAGAAAAGGCCGCCGCGCCGCGGGGGCGGCGCAGGAGCCCGCTCGAGGCTCCGCCCAGCCCGCGCCCCGCCTACCACCTCGGCTCCCATTGGCCTGTGTCTGCATGGACGCTCCCAGACCCCGCCCCTCACCGTCCACCACCCAGGCTCCCATTGGCCTGCATCTACACGGACACGCCCAGGACACGCCCCTGCAGACCCCAGTCGGCCGCGGAAGGGCGGGGTTCGCTCAGGCCCCGCCCCGGCCTCCGCTGCACCTGCTGCTGGCAGACGCCGGCCGTGCTGCCCCTGCCGGCTCTCTCCGCCCAGCCAGGGAGAGAGAACGGAACGCAAGGCCAAGGACTACGGAACAACTTCCCTGCGATTCGGTGGCGCCTCGGAACAGCTGTCTGGGGGATCTCCATGATACCGTGAAAAATAATCGAGAAAAGGGGACTCACCAAGAGCCCCAGCGAGGCAGCCTTCTCTGGGAGCTGGTTCTCCCTGTCCTCGGGAACCTCCAAAGTCGAAAGGAAGTTAACTTGAATTTATTTCTAATAACCCAGGTTTTGGGTTTGAAAAGTTTGCAAGACTACCGAAAAACTGAGAACACCTCTGGTACGCAAACGGTGTAATCTGAGTCTCAAGACTCACCAAACGCTAACATTTTGCAGCATCGGTGTTGTCTTTGGCTGTAAAGTCTCCCCCCAGCTTGGGGACTAGTAATACTACATGACTAGTAATACTAAATTACCGCTCTATATCTCACCATTATCACACCCAAGAAACTTAAAACCACTTCAGGTTTGGAATGGCGGTTAAGCCGCAGCCTGTAACACAGGCTCCCATGTGGAATCCTGGCTGCTCCACTTCCCATGCTTGGGAAAGCAACAGAGGATGGACCAGGTGGCCTTGGGTCCCTGCACCCACATGGGAGACTCCAATGAAGCTCCTGGCTCTTATAGACACAAACCAAAGAATGGAGCATCTCTCTCCTTCTCTCAGCTACTTCAATCCTAGCAAATATATAACGATGCTCAAGAAGCTCATGAAAAATGAAAAATATAAAAACGTTTATTCCTTTGCATGCAAAGGAAGAGTAAACTATATTATGGAAAAAAAAAACCCACCTGGAATAAAAAAAAATTACATCGGCCTGGTGCAATAGCTAAATCCTTGCCTTGCATGCAGAGGTTGCTATCCGGGCAGCTCCACTTCCCCTGCAGCTCCCTGCTGTGGCCTGGGAAAGCAGTAGAGGACGACCTGAAGCCTTGGGACCCTGCACTAATGTGGGAGACCTAGAAGCTCCTAGCTCTTCGCTTTGGATCGGCTCAGCTCTGGCTATTACAGTCGACTGGGGAGTGAACCAGCAGACAGAAGATCTTTCTGTCTCTCTCTGTAAATCTACCTTTTCAATTAAAAAAAATAAAATAAATCTTTAAAAATTGCATCAAAATAATTTTTAAACTTAAAAAGTTTCCATATATTACATTTCAATTTCCTTTCTCTTCCCAAAATGTCACACACATGCACACATACACCTTCAAAATCTATCAAGGATTAATCCATTCCATTGGATTTCATGTCAGTATATAATCTTGTGACTGCTACGCTGCTTTTTAAATATCTGAGATATTTCACATCTAAATCGCTTGTTTCACAGTCTGTGTCACATGCTGGACACAAAGAATTGCTTCCTTAAGTATCTTGGTGAGTAAGGAGGAAGTGAGGGTCCATACGTACTATTGCTTTTGTGGGCAAGCACACAGGGCCAGCTGGACATCATTATCCCTGAGCCAAGCTGGATCTCGGTCAAGGCTGCGTCTAGCCCGTCTCCCCACAGCAAAGGCTTCCTTGGGGGATGGGCTGACACCAGGTAGATATTTTGTCTCCCAGCAATCCCTTATCCTATGGACAATGAAACCTTATTATCCCTGTCGTAAAGGGTGGCATTCCAGTTCTGTCCCTCCATCTGATTTTCAGCGGGCACTGATATCTGAAAAGGAGTACCCATCTTCCCTCCTTAGCTGTACATTTTCTTTTCTGCTCATCTTCTTCAATAAACCATACTCCCCAGCCGCGTTTTCCATTTTGAGTCATAGTGTGACCTACTGGATTCTGAATTAATTCAATCATTGTTAACAAATCCCCTTATTGTGCCTACAGTTAGCACAGAAAACCCCTTGACTGGATCCTCGCATTCCTTCAGACATCAGGCTCTGAGCACTTCCTGCTTTCTGGAAGATTCACCTTCTTGGATATCCTTTTGTGCATTGTAAGGTTTTCACACAACCAAGTGCTTTTATATTCCTCCTTTCCTTTTATATTGCACTCTCCTTTGATACTACACTAAACAACAAGGAGCAGTATGCTCTTTACTCAGATATGCTTTTCCTTTAAAAAATAAGTCTCAGGTTATAAATTCTGCTTTTTCATTTCTGTTTTATTTGAGAGGGGTAGAAAGATCCTCCATCCACTGTCTCACTGTCCAAGTGCCCACAAGAGACAGTCCTGGGCCATGCCAAGTCAAGAGCCAGGAACATCATCTGGATCTCCCATGAGAACAACAGGGTCCCAAGTACTCGGGACATCATCCTATAAGGTACATCATCTTCGAAGAGTGCGTGTTAGTAGGAAACTAGAATCCAGACTGGAGCCAGGACTCAAACATAAGTATTGTGACACGAGAAGTGGGTATCCCGAACAGTATCTTAACCAGCACACCAAATGCTTAGCCGGGGCCCAGCTAATCCTCTCCGCAGTTCATGTCCTGGCTGCTCCACTTCCCATCCAGTCCCCTGCTTGTGGCCTGGGAGAGCAGTGGAGGAGGACCCAAAAGCTTGGAATCCTGCAGCCGCATGGGAGACCTGGTAGAATTTCCTGGTTCCTGGCTCTGGATCAGTTCAGCTCCAGCCATTGAGGCCATCTGGGGAGTGAGCCAGCGAATGGAAAATCTTTCTGTCTCTTCTTCTCTCCATAATCTGCCTTTCCAGTAAAAATAAATAAATCTTTTAAAGTGTTGTTTCTTTTTTTTTTTTTAAAGATTTATTTTTATTATTTTTTCATTGGAAAGGCAGATATACAGAGAGAAGAGACAGAGAGGAAGATCTTCCGTCCGATGATTCACTCCCCAAGTGAGCGCAACGGGCCGATACTATGCCGATCCGAAGCCAGGAGCCTCTTCCGGGTCTCCCACGCGGGTGCAGGCTCCCAAAGCTCTGGGCCGTCCTCGACTGCTTTCCCAGGCCACAGGCAGGGAGCTGGAAGGGAAGCGGGGCTGCCGGGATTAGAACCGGCGCCCATATGGGATCCCGGGCGTGCAAGGCGAGGACCTTTAACCACTTGCGCCACCGCGCCGGGCCCGTGTTGTTTCTTTTTTTAAGACTTATTTATTTTTATTGGAAAATCAGATTTAAATAGAGGAGAAGAGACAGAGAAAATAATCTTCCATTCACTAGTTCACTCCCCAAGTGGCAGCAATGGATAGAGCTGAGATGATACAAAACCAGAAGCCAAGAGCCACTTCCAGGTCTCCTGTGCAGGTGCAGTGTCCCAAGGCTTTGGGCTATTCTCCACTGCTCTCCCAGGCCGCAAGCAGGCAGCTGAAAGGGAAGCAGAGCAGCCAAGATATGACCTAACACCCGTATAGATTCCAGGCACATGCAAGGCAAGGACTTGCACTAGGCTACCATGCTGAGCCCAAACAAATCTTAAAAATAAATAAATAAAAACCAATGCTTAGTCCTAAAATTTAATTGCTGCATGCTAAGTGTACATATTTGTGGAGTGGAGTGTGAGTGTTCAGTACATGTATATAGTGTATAATCATCAGATCAAGCTGATGAACATTTCATTTCTTCATGTTTATCATTATTTTGTGTTGAGAAGCTTCAAATTTCTCTCTTCCAGCCAAATTATTTTAAATCATGAGTTTATATTAATCCTTATGATTCAAAACCCAAACCCTGAGTTTCATCCTAGCCTCCATATACCATGTGTGTATCTTGCTTCTCCCACAGTGAAAGCCCTGGCTCCCTCCCATCAGCAGTCATATATTTTGTCCCACAATACATCTGGAACAGTTGGGACTTACACTTCCATAACAACACCAGCAACAGATCTCCTCGGGTTAAGATTTCTTAATAGGTTGGCCCGGCACAGTGGCCTAGCGGCTAAAGTCCTCGCCTTGAACGCACCAGGATCCCAAATGTTATATAATTTCATTGTTCAATGTATATGACATTCATGTGGTTCAACAGCAAAGCCCACAGAAGAAATCTCACAGCCATTCCTATTCCTGGACTCCACATCCAATCACCTCTACCAGTAACCACCAGTAATCAATACCTTCCTCCTGTCAATAACAAGCCATCATTAGTTTCTAAATTATTCTCTCGATCTCTCTCCAAACTAGGTCATTTTCTGATGTTCTCCCAGTCACATTAGCAGGAAGTTGGATAGGAAGCAAAATGGTTGGAACTTGAACCGGAACTCAAATATGAAATGCTAGCATGGTAAGTTGCAACTTAAAAAGCTGTCCCACTACAGTAGCTCCTATACATTGAAATTTTTAAAATGCTGGCATGCTTGCAAAACAAATGATAGCATTTTCAATATCCATATTGAATTTGAGGACCTCCTCCCCAAAAGGTCTTTGTCCTCAGGTTAGAAATTATTTCTCTGGGAATGGTAACCTGGTTATGTTAGTAAACTCAGCTTAGAACAAGAATAAAAACAACAAAAATGGTAATCCTGGATACAGAATTCTAATTAACCATTTGATGTAAGCTCCTGACGGACACAATTTACTTTTCACCCATTCTTAGTCTTTCACTTTTCCTCACCCCCCTCAGTTCTTATCAGCTCTTTGTGATGTGTTTTCTTAATCTGACCACAATACACACACAACCATATGGGAATGAAGAGTTGGGTTCCACTTAATCTTGCATACACCTCTCTTAGCTCTCTGGTTTTGGTTAATGAATGACCCAGTTAATTAAAGTCCTAAGATGCAGAA